TGAACTAACGCTTTTTGTTCCGTGATTCTACTTTGCAAGGTTTCTGGTACATACTGCCTTATAAATGCTCTGGGCTGTTACTCTCACTTGGAATAAAACAGACATTTATAGAACACATATAAGACAGGGCAGGCCAAACGACATCACAGAGACCGGAAACGTATCTCTATGCACCAGCCTCCTCACTTGGTCTAGAAGGACTTGGGGGGGCCCGCTGTACTCCTCCTCGCTCTGTTCCCACCAGCCTGCCCTCTCTTTCTCAGCTCTGCCGGGCTCCTTCCCTCCCCAGCGATCCTGCCCTGGATGGTCCCTCTGCCTGGAGCCTGTGTGAGGTTCCACATGGCCGACTCCTGATGGTCCTCAAGGGGTCACTCCTCCCACCCCGGTTCCTCTTCAGCACACTGTCCTGTCTCATTCTCGCTGTAGTTCCTGTCAGCCCCCACAATTATCCATGTTTACTGACTTTCACCCAGGAAAATACAAGCTCTTACTCATTTGTATCTTGAGCGTCCACAATGGTACCTGGTACATGGTAGGTGTTCAGTGAATAGCTCTGAATGAAAGGACAGAGGAAGGGAGGGAGTCCTGAGGCGGGAAGTTCACGATCAAGGAAGTAAGAGAGGCTGACATTCCAAGAGGGAAAGGAGGGGAGAGGGAAGATGAGGTCTTGTGGGAAACAGGTAGGTTTCTATAGGCCTTGGTACAGATGTCATCTGGAGAGCAAGACCGATGAGGGGCCTCTGAAAGGTTTTAATTCAAGAGTAATATCATTAGATTTGGATTTTTTAAAATATCACCTGGATTCAATATGAAAAATGAGTTATAAGGGAGCAAGGAAGGTTAGGAGCTCACAGGTGGCGGCAGCTCTGACAAGTAGGGAGGCACAGCAATAGAAACGGGGAGGGTGAGTGGCCTGGGGGACCTGTGACGACTGAGAAAGGAGAGACGTCGGGCAGACTAGATGTTTAGCTTGCTGGCCGGTGGAGCAGCATTCACTAAAATACTAGAAACTGTCAAGGGGTGAATTGGGTGGAGGGCAGTGAACACTGACTGGCTGGGGTCCCTCTGAGACTTCCCAGTGGAGCTATCCGGTAGGTAGCTGGACATGCAGGTCTGGGGCTCAGGAGAGAGGTCTGGACCAGAAGGAAACAAAGGACCAAGAGAGAGCATGAAACAGTAAGACTGCATTAATGACCAGGGAGGCCGGAGAGAGGGAAGTGGGAGGGTTCTGCAGCTCCTGATAAGGGTCACCGTGGACTGGTGGTGACCCTTCGGGCTGCTGACAAAGCCTGAAGTCATGGATACAGACCATTTGAAGAATCTTAAACTTGCATCGGACCCAGCAGAGCTGCTCTGAAATAGGGTGACTGGATAGGGAGCGGGGCTGTCAAAGCCTAGGAGAGAAGGGTTTCAAGCCAGCTTCCTGGGAGGTGCTGGCTATTAAATGTGTATGGATTGAGAAGCCATGCATCTCACAAGGGCAAATGACTGCATTCTCAGCCTCCCTTGTCACTAGGTGTGGCTGTGTGACTAAGTTCCAATAAAGATAGCATCAAGTGTGTGGTCCATCTGAGGGAAGGGGACACACTCTCCTGCTCCTCCTTTCTCCACCCTATTGCCTGGAGCATGGATGAAATGGCTGGAGCTCTAGCAGCCTGTGGGTCCATGAGGGTGAAGGCCAAATCCAAGACGTGGCGAAGAAATAAGCAAGAAAGCACCTGACAGCTTCATGAAACTGCCCTACCTCTCTGACGATTGCCTACTTCCAGACTTCCTTTAAAAGTGAGAGAAACACTATCCATTTAAGCTGCTGACATTTGAAGATGTTCTGTTGTATGCTGTTAATCCTAATCCTAAAGTGAGCATGAGCTGACTGGTTAATCACACCCCCTGCAGCACTGTTCCCCTGGCTTTAGGTCACGTCGCTGCCTTGATAGGGACTGTCCTCCTCTTTGCCTGTATTTATTTAAATCCTGCCCATGCTTTGGAGGCTAGATCAAATTCCACCTCCCACACGAGACTTCCCTTCCACTTCCTCCCCTGAACCCTGGCACTGCCTGCCTGCCCCCACTCGTTGGGCATCTGGCCTAAGCTGCCTTCACAGTGATTCATCCCTCTACACTTACCTCCTGACTGCTCGAAGAGGCTCAGGACCTCCGAGGGCAAGGTGCACATTTTCTAGGTCCTTGGATTGATTCCCTGGACCCAAGAGGCATTCACTACAAGGTCACCTTGGATATGCCTCAGTCAAACTCCCTCACCTCCACCTGCAGCCAGGATCAGGATGGGGCCAGAAAGTATGTAAATAAATTCTAAAAATGGAAAGGCAGGCAGAGGTGAGGGCAGTCTGTGAAATATCTAAAACTGTTTCTAATACCCAGAGGCGACTTGGGGGAAAGATCTGATATGCCTCCTTCAAACTGTATGACATAGAGGCTTGCCTGCCATAAGGTTAACCTGGCAAGGGACACGATTCATATAAAAAACAAAGTGAATGGCAGCCCTGAGAAGTATAGTGCCACGGCCCCTCGCATACAAAAATGAGCCCCTTCAGAAAAAATAACAAGTTCTGCTAACCAACGTGTTTTCCCAGACACTTGCAGCATACGCTGCATACATCACTATCAATAACAAATTACTTTTGAATTAAGTAAAATAGAAATTATGTTCCAAACATGCTAAAAGCAAATTCAGACCAAGGTAAATGGTTTGCAACAGATATAGTTCATTTGTAAAGAGAGTCTAATTTTTAAAATGTATATATTTTTTGCCTTCTTGTCTGGCACAGAAATTGTTAAACCCCATCAAAAAGGCAGCAAAGACCCAGAGGAGTTTTCCCCCTCAGAGCTGGCGTTTGTCACACAAGCTGCCCCGTCAGGAAGATGTCACCAGAGACAACGGCTGGGGAGCTGAAATGGAAACTTCTAATGTAGTCCACCCGCCCAGGTCCAATATAACCGCAGTCTGTTTAGGGGCATGTCCAGATTTCCTCCAAATGCCCTTGTGAAAGCTGAGAATGCAGAAGCAGAGAACTCACGCTCCAGGACCCCCACAAAAGTAACCACGCAAAAACCCCTCGGTCAGCTACACCAACCCTGCAGGATGAGCTTGGTGCACCAAGAGCCCGTGGCGGGAGAAGTTGTCTGGCTGAAATAACACAGTGCCCCTCTGAGGCCTGCGTCTAGCGCCAACACGGGCGATTTAGGACTGCAGAAGGTGCGGCGGGTCATCAGGCATCAGGCTGGGGCCTAACACTGCTCCCCACCCCCCCGCAGGCGGTTTGGGCACAGCTTACGGGCTGCTCCACCGCCTGGTTTCTGCTGGCCCAGCTGGCCTCACCATGCCCGCCCGATCCGCCTCCCGCCCACCGAGACAGGGTCCCAGGCCGGCTGGCAGGGCCGGATGCACTCAGAGCCGGCCTCAGGGAAAGCCTGCCTCCAGGACTGTCACCACTTGTGACCACCAGGTGTCAGTGGCGAGTGAGGAAACTCCCTTCCTGAGTTTTCAGGGCACTTGGGCAGACCCTGAAGGGGGAGACCCCAGAAGCTGTGGCTTTGGGGACAAGCAGTGCTATCTCAGATTCTCAGTCACTCACGAGCATCGCATTTACTTGCAACTCACCATGTAACCTCACTACGTAACTTCTAGGGCGGTTTTAATTCAACGTCCGTCATGCGCTTAAACAAAAGATCACAGGCTGCTCACTTCGGTAAGGACCAACTGGGGCCTTGCTTTTCTCCCCCCAGCAAAGCGGAGACACAAAGCATGGTTTCCTACTCCTCACCAGTTCCCCCACATAAACCACCAAGTGCATATCTAGCCCTTTCTCTTTATACTGAGGCTCCAGATGTTTCGTTTGAAATGCTTCAGCAACAGCTCGGGTGCTACTGGGTGTGGAGCCTATAGGAGGCAGAGCCCAGCAAAGGAACTGGCAACTTCACTGCATTCTTGGATGAGCTGGATCTAAACTGGTTTCTTCCATTGGGTGTAGCATCTTCAACAGAAATATTGGATTTATGAGTCACTACAGCCACATCAAAACCCGTATGTTATTGGACTTTTAAACCCAGGATGTCAGCAAAGCACTCTCAGACCTCTCCTGCTTCCCTCTGCAGGCTGAGGACACTTCCTGCGGAACACAGGAGTGTGCCGAGCCAGGCTCACTGTATCAATGCCAAGCACTGTGGCTCCTTCCAGGGTCCACGCTGCCACTAAACATCACCCAGCCACCAAAAAGAATGCATCTATTCACCTCAGCCTCTCCACACCCAGACACGAGGCCCCTGCTGAGTACTCCTCTCCTCTGAGAACTTGAGGTATCCAGCAGGTTCTTCCACTGCCAATTATGCCCTTAACTCGAATCCAAGGGAGCCTGATTGCCAGTACCTCACAAGCACTGATGCTAAGGAGAAACACAATCATCTGGATGAAGGAACCTCCCGGGTTCAGCTAAGGGCTTTGCAAAGGGCTTCAAGTACCCCTCTTGCACAAAGAAACACTCAAAATTTCTGTACTAAATGGCATTACTGAATCCCAGGACTTGGAAAGACAGCTTTGTAACTAGGGGACCAAAGCTGGCCCAACTATGCTTGGGACAGCCCCACTGTCGCTGCAACAGGAAGAGGCAGGACATTTCTGAAGAGAGACAGCCACCAAAGTCCCGAGAGGTCAACCCAAGTTTTTGCCACTATGCCACCTTTATTGTTTATCTGCGTCCACATGTCTTGACTCACAAGCAGCGTTACACTTAGTGATAAGGGGGAGCTCAAGGGCATCCTGTGAGCACAGAGAATGTACAATGATACCCAGGCTCTTTGCTTAGCCAGTGAAACTTCTGCCCCTCTCCTTTTGTCTTAATTCATGGCGCCCTGTCACATTCCACCCAACCCCAGCAACAACTCCCGAGCTTATGTCTTCCAAAAACAAGGGCTTCCAGGTCTGGACTAAGAACATGCTACAGACAGATAAGACAAGCTTGTGGAGCAAAGCTCCAGCCTCACCGTTTGCCGATGATGAGAAGCAGTGGTGGATGTGGCCCGAGGAGGTGCTACAGTTCTGCCAGAGGTCAGTCACATGGCCATTGCCCTTGATCCATTGCTGGAAAGAACCAGACATCCTAGATCAGGTGAGGTAGTGAGGAGTGATAGACAGGGCGGGAGAAGACCAAGGGAGAGCCAAGAGACACCTTATTCACCTGTGCCCCTGGCCTGCCTAGGGCCGCCCCAGCGGGAGGTCACAGTAATGCTGGAGAAAGGAGAGGTGTTGGTCTGGCTCAGGCATTATGTCTGGGGAAGGCCAGTTTTTGTAAGTGAAAAGCACTTTGTAAGTGGAAAAGTAGCACACACATCTGTTACTACGTGCAGAGCTGTGTACTGTAGTAGAAGGAGCCATGGACTCACCTGGGGGGGACACCTGCTTCAAGGGTCCCTCCTCCTGGATCTTCTGGCTGTCAATCCCCAAACCACTACCTGTCTGAGCCTGTTTCCTTATTTATAACTCCTACCCATTGGACAAGATTATCAGGCACAATTAAAATGTTGTAAAATGCTAATAAGTGATAAATTCGAATGCTTATAAAATTCACAAGTCCTGAATATAATTACTTCTCAAACTTTGAAACAGACAAGAAGATCCTGCCTAGGATCTGCCTTATGTTAAGAAGTTAGAGCCACAGCACCTACCTGCCCAAGTCTGTGCTCATCTTCACAGCCAAGAAAACGTGACTAGAATCTAATCTGCCTGCTGCCCGATGGTTCTGTGATGTTACCCTGGTGCCCTGTTCATGCAGGGGAGACTTTACTAAGAAGGTGCTGTGCTCACATCATAAAGCAGACCTGGGACCGTGAACTCTTCTTAAAAAAGCCAAGTTTAACTTCTCAATTTTAAATCCTAACGGGGGTTTTGTGAACAAGCTGCCCACCTGACCTATGGCATTTGGAAAATACTCCACTTCCTCAACCAACCTGCATCAAGAAAAAAACGCTAAACGACTTTATCCAAGAAAGGTCTGGGGACCCTGGATCTGCCCAGAATCTACTGGGCTTAAAGAGGCCCGGCCAGCTGCCCCAGTCCAGTGGCTGCTTCCTTTCTACCCTTAATCGGCTCTGGTTTTCTCAAAACCACCGAAAAGGCTCAGGTGGCCACAAACTGCAAAAGGCCCTGGAACCTGTGGGACTTCTGGTCCGCAAGTCACCACGCAGCCCTGGCCCAGAGGGGCCCTGGGGGAGCCGTGGCCTGGGGAGGCCAGAGCACTGGGCGAGGACTGGGTGCCCCCCGCCCCCCCGCGGGACACTCACGCTGACGATCGTGGAGACGAACAGCGGCACCAGCACGGCCACGTGGAGCACGATGATACCCAGCAGCAGGAGGAGCATTTTGGCGGCAAGTTCTGCTCAGCGGAGTTTCTGCTGCGGGGAGAGAGCCAAGGCTGGACGTGAGCCCCGCGCGGCCGCGCGCCCAGCGCGGGCG